ACACACACACACACACAAATGTGTTTTGGTTTGATCAAATTTCTGTTAATGTTCTGCTGCATGCCTTTTGTGACCTATTAACCTCACTATACCTAAACCTAATCTAAGTAAATTGTTGGTCTCTTTATAGATCTTCTCTATTTTCTTGTCATTATTGATATGTTTGAATTTCCAAGGTGCTTTCTTAGCCATTATCATCTCATGTTGTAATATCTTGAGGAGATTCTTACAGATTCATCCATTTTTCCTTGTTTTATTTTCTTTTTAAATGCATAGGGTTTTTATTTTTGAGAAAATGCAGGTATGTTGGGAACATTCACACACAGGTGACTGAACCACTTCTTCAAGAGGTTTTTGCAAGTACTGGTCCTGTGGAAGGCTGCAAGCTTATTAGAAAAGAAAAGGTACAGTTGACGTGCATCTCGTTTCCCATGATTATGTGACTGAGCTGATATGGATTTTTAGCCCTTCAGATATTGTTGGTTTATCTTCTTTTCGTGCTCTGTGCAGTCATCCTATGGGTTTATTCATTACTTCGATCGTAGATCAGCCAGCCTTGCTATTTTTACCCTTAATGGAAGGCATCTGTAAGTAGGAAGCCTTCTCCCTTTTCTCATGGATAACAGGAAGCTCTATATATTATCCCTCTTATCGTAGATTTAATTTCTAATGTCATATACATTAATATCTTATTCTGCGATTTCCAGGTTTGGGCAGCCTATTAAAGTCAACTGGGCATATGTCAGTGGTCAGAAAGAGGACACATCAAGTAAGTCCCTCATAATGTCTTCTTACCGTGTTTCTTAGTTTCTTAGCATAACAAGGTCATGTCTTGTGATTTTGGGTTTATTATTATTTTATACCTCTTATGCAGGCCACTACAACATTTTTGTTGGTGATCTTAGCCCTGAAGTTACCGATGCCATGTTGTATGCATGCTTTTCTGTTTACCTGAGTTGCTCGTAAGCACCTCACTCTTTCTTCCTCTTTCCTTGTCCACAATCTCTTTCTCGATTTAACTTCCGTATAGCGGTAAGAACTGAGTTCAAACTTGGTCTTTCCCCTTGCATTGAATTTTTTGGTTAAAAAATAGATTAGCATTGCCGTCTGATTAATGAATTGTTGTGTTTGTTTTAAAAAATGATTATTGTCTCGTTTGTTCACAGTGATGCTAGGGTTATGTGGGATCAAAAGACTGGACGTTCCAGGGGGTTTGGATTTGTCTCATTCCGAAATCAGCAGGTATGTTTCCTTGCGTTTTAATTGTGTTCGTTTTGCATACTCTTGACTTCTACTCAAATTAAATTTTTTTTTTGGTTCAGGATGCCCAAAGTGCAATAAATGATTTAACTGGTGAGAACATTGTCATCAATCTCTCTTCATAAGTTGTCATTGGCTCATTGCACAATTTTTTTAGCATCATGACCTGGAAATTCTATAGCATTATGTTACTAAGTTGGTGTGTTCGTAACGAATTTAAAAAAAAATAGAAAACTATTAGCGAAATGGATATTTTAATTTGAGGAAACTTGGACGTCCGAAGTATTGGTTTTAGAGTTCATTGACGGCTTAAAGCTTAAATACAAAATAATGCAAGCACTTTCACCTAAAACTAAGGAGACCTAATTTGCTCCGTATCCCCACTGTCTCCTACAATAACTACATACAATTACAAATAACAACCTACCACTAACTCAAAATTTATAAAAAATAAAATGAAATAAAAAGTAAAAATCATGACATTCCTACCCCTTAACGACACCTTTGTCCTCGAGGGTGAATTTTGTTTTTGAGAAAAATTGTCACATCTTTTCTATGTTTTCCATTTATGATCAAATGTAAAAGACGTTAAATCTTTGTTGTAGATCCTTCATTAGTTCAACCTTATTCTTCCTTTTTATAATGGCACTTGATAGATGGATGATATGTCATGATTTTGTCTTTGTTCATGTTTAGCAATAATTCT